CGGGGAAATTTATACTTTACATGGATTCTCAACTTGTAATGGTTCTTTATGATTAAATAAATAAACGACACCAACCTAATTGCGGGATTAAAAAAAAAAAATAATAATTAATTTGTATTTACTTTTTATAATTGCTTGCATATAACTTAAATTATAAAGTTTATATTAATAGAAATTTCATTAGTTCAAATAACATGCTTCTAATTTATTTTGTTCAATGTTTATAAATCTTTGTTTAATTTAATTAATTATATGATTTTTTTACTAATAAATAGTTTTTTATATGCAATATAGAAAACAATTAATTTTTTAAAAAAAGTTATATTGGGATTTAGTGAAATATAAGATTATATAAAAATTTTATAATAAGTATTTGTTTTGACATTCTTTTTAGTTCCGATTTGATATATGATTTTGTAGGATGAATTGCTCAAATCAATTGTTTATCATTGATTTTTCATCACTATTCTTTTTTTTCAAATAACTGAAATTATTAATTATTTTAATTATTTAAGGCAGTATTTAATTGTAATATTGGACCTTCAAATAATTTGTGCAATTTTAGCAGCAGACATATATTCTTTTTTTAGCATTCCACTGTATGGTATTTATCTTTCTATAAGATTGTTTTTGCATTCCATTAGTATGTATGTGTTAAAGTTTATTTTTATTTTTTTTTTGATTAAAATGTGCAGTATGATGTAAGCGGATTTTATTGGCAATAATTAATTTAGGAAATACAGGTGATATAAATCGGTTAATTTTGATCGACCCGCCTGTAAGACCGACAGGAATTTTTTGGACCCTGTAATTGTGATAAAAAATTATATACAAATAAATGTATTATTTTATGTTTAAAATTTTTAATTGGCAGGCAAGGGTTATGTAATATTACGCCATAACTTACGTACACTTTGTAAAAACGGATTAGTCGTATGGTCATTCTGATGTAGCACCATTAGAACTCATGATTTATTTAGAATGTTCATGTATGCAATATGTACAGACATTGATCATTGGAACGTGAGAATGTTTGTGTGGGAAACGTATAAAAAGTGTTTTCACAAATTATTCTCAAAAATAAAAATGATCCACTCAAGCCGCTCAAGGTCTTATCTTTTTCTTTCCCTTGTTTTGATTCTATCTCTTTTCTCTGTCACCTGCGGAGCTGTCGATAAACACTGTCCTTTGGCTGAAAAATGTCCTTATTATGATGCTATTCGCTTTGGCAAGCAATTACATGATTTTGATTGGACCAATACTAATTGTCCGGCTGCTGGTAACATTGGTTTTAAAAAAATTAGTTATCGACTAGTTGACATGTATTAAGTACATTTTGTTTCAATAAGGAAAATGCACATATTTTGAAGATATAAAGAAGAGAGCTTTAGCTAACGGTGATCACAGCGCTTTACCGCCAAAAAAGGGCGGATGTCCCTACGCTGGAGGTTGTCCCCACGCTCAGAATAATCATAAGCATAAAGAAGGTGACATCTCTAAATGTCCTTATTTGAGTAGTGGTACGAAGAAGTGTCCTTATTTGAAGAATGAAAGTGAAGAAGAGAAAAGCTCGATAAAAAATTGTCCTCACTTCCAAAAATCTAAGATCGAACGGGAAGAGCTATAAATGTTATTTGAGATAAATTATTCTTAATTGTAGCCTTGGTTTTATTGTCATTAATAAATATCCTACATAAAATCCTTTTTTTTGGTGGAATTTTTAATTCTCGTATGTAAATTTATGCAAGTTTTTAATCATTTACATATTCTTTAAAACATTACATTATGAAAATTTAATTCTCTCATTTTTTTCTTCGTAAAGTGGCATCAAGGATTAATAAAATGTTTTTTTTTTTATAAATAAAATCCAAAATGTAATAAAATATGTAGTAAACAATTCAAAAGCAATTAATTATAATTATAGTGATTAATTTTAACTTTTAAAGCAATTAAATTTTCTTAATATTACTTAAAAAAAATTTTTTTTTTTTTAGTTATAGTTCCTCAATATAGGAATTTTTTTTGTTATTTATTAATAGATAAAAATGTCATTTACATCAAGAATAATTCTATCCTATTTGATGTCAAAAAGATTCTGTGATACATAGTATCAAAAAATGTTTAGAAACTAGGACCAGAAAAAAAAAAGAATAATGAGAAAAAATATCTTAGCAAGGGTAATGTAAAGTGACTAACTTCACTTTACTCTTTAGGGAGAAGACTAATTTAGTATATCAGTTATACAAGTTTTCACATGAATTTTTAAGTTATAATAAAAAAAATTTTTTTACTTAATAATTTAGTATAAACTTTAAAACCCAGATTATTCTTTATTTGCTTATAAACTTTGAATATTTTTTTTAAATTGATAGAAGATATAATAGAGGATAACTTTACTTATACCCCAATTCAATATCTCTTAAACCCATGAAGTTTACCTAGAAGTAAGTGAAATTTTTATAGTAAATTTTTAAATTTTGACTCAGCAAAAAGAATTTATATTAATTTTAAAATTTAAAGGTTTACTATAAAAATTTTACTTGCTTCTAGGTAAACTTCACAGGTTTAAGAGATATTGAGTTGAGAATATGAGTAAAGTTATCTTCTATTATATCTTCTATCAAATTAAAAAAAATATATTCAAAGTTTATAAGCAAACAAAGAATAATCTAGGTTTCAAAGTTTATATTAAATTATTAAATAAAAAAATTTTTTTTTATTATAACAAAAATTTACACTTAAAATTTGTGAGAAAACTTGTGTGACTAATATAAAAATCCAGTATAAAAAAGAAATTAAACTAGTAATACCCAGAAGCAATTTAAAATTATTAAATTATTTAATATAAATTTATAATAATTTATAATTTTTTTTAAAAAATTTGTTTAATTATTTTATATAGTATCTTGTTAAATAAAATTTTCTTCAATATAAAAAAATTTTATTTCAATCAAGTTATTTTAAAAAATATTAAATCTTTTTAAAAGAATATTAAACTTATTTGTTTAACTCTTAGCCATTTAATCTAGAAATTCTTAAACAATATTATTATAAATTCTTTAAATAAAAAAAAAAAAACTCTCACCCGTTCATCACTGATTTCTTGAAAATTTCCTTATATGGTAATTTTCTTGAAAGAAGCACTTTTCCCTCTCTCTTCAATATGCCAACTATGCCATAAGCTCAAGGACATAAAAACTTTAAAGACCACTGTTGCATTGGGATGGGATCTCTGGTCAAAGGCCAAACAAGTTTGGGAGTCTTGTTTGTTCTT